TCTAATGAATAAAGCTTGCCTAAAGATCAGAGGGCGGAGCTAGCCACTAGTTAACCATAGAGGTCTAGAAGTCTATACAGACAGACAGCAAGCGATATTGATGGTGGAGAGAAGAATATAAGGCAGGAGGAGACAGTAGGTTGGGCTCTTTTTGGCTGAGAAGTTGTCAAGGTAAAAGGTGACTGTGGCTTGTTCCTTTGTCTCTCTGATCTTTCAGCATTTACTCCAATACATGGCTCTGGGTTTTTATTATTATTATTATTATTATTATTATTATTATTATTATTATTATTAAGACCAATTAGAACTTGGGCTACAGATAACAAAAGCAAAAAATCGTAAATTGAATTGATCACATTACAAATTTCCTGCAGAGAAAACGAAACAGAGATATGTGACCACCTGTGGGAGGGGAGAAATATTTGCAAATCATCCAAGAAAGAGGATTAATAAGTAGACTATAATAAGAAACTCATTTCAATAGTAAAAAAGCAATGAATTTGATTTTAAAATGGGCAAATATCATGAGTAGACATTAAAAAAAAATTAGCCAAATGACCAAAAAAGAAGTCTATGAAGAAAAGATTAATTGAAGAATTATCAAGAACTACACAGGAACCCCGGAAGATGTCATTTTACCCAATTTAGAATGGATATTATAAAAGAGACTAAAGGTTGGGCTGGAGAGATAGCTCATTAGTTAAGAGTATGGCCTGCTCTTCCAGAAGACCAGGGTTTTTTGTTTTGTTTTGTTTTTTGTTTTTTTTGTTGTTGTTGTTTTGTTTTTATTTTATTTTATTTTTTGAGACAGGGTTTCTCTATATTGCTTTGGAGGCTGTCCTGAAACTTGTGCTGTAGACCAGGCTGGCCTTGATCTCACAGAGATCCACCTGCCTCTGCCTCCCAAGTGCTGGGACTAAAGGTGTGTGCCACCAATGCCCAGCAAGACCAGGGTTTGATTCCCTGAATCCACATCGTGGCTCACAACTATCTGTAACTCTGACAGTTGTGAGCCACCCTATTCTGGCCTCCATGGAAACTACACACAAAAGTGGTGCACAGATATACATACATGCAAAACATCCATCCACACAAAATAAAACATTTTAAAAATTAAAAAGAATAAAGTAAGTGTTGGTAAGACTCGAGAGAAAGGCAACTCTCATTCATTGTATGAGGAAATATAAATTACTACAGACATTATGAGAATTTCCCTTTTAAAAAAAAGCAGAAAAATATCTCATCTAACAACCCCACTGCTGGGAGAGAACACATTTAAAGGAATTGAATTGAAATCAGAATGTCAAAGGGAACTTGCATTTTCACATTATGGCAGCACTGTTCACAGCAGCCAAGGAATAGAACCAGCTTCAGTATCTATGTGGTGTGCATACCGGTCTTAGGGTTTCTATTGCTGCAGCAAAACACCAGGGCCAAAACACAAGTTGGGTAGGAAAGGACTTATTTGGCTTACATTGCAGATCATGGTCCATCATTGGAGGAAGTCAGAACAGAAACTCAAACAGGGCTGAAACCTGGAGGAGGCAGGAGCTGATGCAGAGGCCATGGAGGAGGGCTGCTAACTGGCTTGCTTCCCTTAGGTTTGTTCAGCCTGCTTTCTTATAGAACCCAGGACCACCAGGCTAGGAATGGCACCATCTGCCATGGGCTGGGCCCTTCCCACTTTGATCACTAATTGAGAAAATGCCTACAGATGAATCTCATGGGGGTATTTCCTCAACTGAGGATACTTCTTCTCTGACGACTCTGGCTTGTGACAAGTTTACACACAAAACCAGCCAGTACAATACCCTATGGAATAGTAAAGAGCCATAGAGAATGACATTCGGCCTTACAGCAATGTGGATGGAATTGAATGTCATAATGGGAAGAAAAATAAGACAGGCACAAAAAGACAAACACCAAACATCCTTACATACACATGGCAGCTAGCAAGTTAATCTCAAAGTAGAGGGGGACATGGGGAGGGCAAATGGAGAGAGGGAAACTAATGGTACTGAGATGCAGTTGGGTAAGAGTAATTTATTATGTCTTACTTTGAACAGTGGGATAACCATAGTTGATAATAGTTAATGACGTACTTCAAAATACCCAGTGAAGAGAAACTGAGCACTTCCAACACACACACACACACACACACACACACACACACACACACACACACACGAAATGCTGTGTATCTGATAATAGATATGCTAATTACCCTGTGTGATGGTCAGTTTTGATTGTCAGCTTGCTACAATCTAGAATCATCTGAGAAGAGTCTCAGTGACAGTTTGATGTGGGAGGAGTCAGCCCACTGTAGGCAGCACCATTCTCTTGGCTTGGGTTCTGGACTGTATAAATGTGAACTGGAGGAGCTGAACATAAACATGCATTCCTTCATTCTCTCTCTGCTCTTGACTGTTGAAGTGACTAGTTGCTTCAAGTTCCTGCTGCCTCAACTTCCCCATGAATAATGGATGGCAACTTGGAATTATGAAGTAAAAGAAACCCCTTTTTCTCTGCTACTAGCAGAGAACACTACAACAACAAGATACTAAGTTAAGGCATTCTGTTTGTTCATTATCCATTGTTTACATGAATACATGTATATATTTGAAATGCCACCTGAACCTCAAAATATGTATATCATGTAAAATTACTAGTTGTCAATTAAAAAGAATATTAAAACATGTTATAAATTACATGTTATAGAGTAGAAAAGAATCTCAATTTAAATTTGTATCTACCGTGGCAAGTGCAATTATAAATATATATATGAAAATGACCAGAAAAAAACAACTAGGTAATTTATAGCTGGGAAGTTTTGAGTTTTAAAATTCATATTTATTTTACTTCTGTTCTCTTACAGTTTTTTTTTTTTTGGTGAAATAAGACTGATAAAAAACTCCAGGAGCCTCAAGTCAGAAATAAACACAGTTTGTTTTCCCTATTTAAAGTAGTAGAAACATCCTTCCCTCACAGCTCCCCTTAAAGGAGCAATGCTGTCCATGAATTAAAATCTCAAGGTGGAGGGGTAGAGGTATTTTCACTTTCCCAAGTATTCTTTAAGACATGATTTCATGTAGCCCAAAGCTGTCCTAAAACACTCTGTGCAACGAGTTCAAAGACAAATATGCCATCATGTACAGTTTGTGCAATGCTGGGAATTGAATCCCAGGACCTCATGCACACCAGCAAGCACTCTACCAATTAAGCTACATCCCGTGTGTACTTCTTTTTTAATTTTAGATTTGCTTATTATTTAAACAGTGTTCTACCTGCATGTATGCCTGCATGCCATAAGAGGGCACCAGACCAGATCTCATTACAGATTGTTGTGAGCCACCATGAGGTTGCTCAGGACCTCTGGAAGGGCAGCCAGTGCTCTTAACCTCTGAGTCATCTCTCCAGGCCCCATCCCATGGGCTTTAAAAAAGTTTCAAGTCCTCTGTGTCTGTCACTTTCAATTCCTATCATCTGCTGATCTTCAAATCTATCAGTCACAAGTAATATACTATAGATTTTCAATAATCACATTAGGGATGTGGTTGAAAGTGGTATAAATAAGATCCATTACTCCCTCCTTAAAGCAGGAAGGTAGTACATCTACCTTAGTATATCTTAAAGAAGAAGCCTTCCTTGCCTTGTTTTACAGTTCTTAGCACAGCCTTTCTCAAGGTCTCAAAATGACCGATACATCTGCTGTTATTGTATGATATGATTCCAATCATGAAGTAGGGGAAAGTTGAAGGACAGTTTTCTCCAGGACTTCCTTTATATCCCGAGTCTCTCTTGGAACTTTGGTCTATGCTTTATGAACTAGGACTTTGTTTCACTGTTATGCTCTGTCAAGAGGGATTTGCTTTTTGGCCTCTGTAGTGTAGAAACGGGAAGGAGAGGTGCTTGGAGTAATAATGACTGAGCTTTTCAAAGCACTTGTCAAAATCATGTTTAATTAAACTATATTGTTTCATCTATATACTGTCCTGGCACCTTCTTAGCCACTGTTCCCTTCTTCCTTCCTTTAGCTACTTTCCTGGAGGTAGCTGTGGTCTTGAAGAAATTCTTGCTTCATCTCTTCCACGAGGGCACCAGTTTCTTCTTCATTACTATTGTGATCCACAGTCTCTTCTGAGGATGAGAATCACTATTTTCTCTGTTCTGTCCATACAAACGTGTCTCTTTGTACAACTTGACAAACTGATCCCTCCATCCCTGAATTCCAAGGTCAGTTACAAGGCCAGGTCCCTCCAATGAAGACTTCACCATCCCTCTTTCCTCTCAGTCCGACAAGGAAAGTACCTCTCTACTGCTGTTACTTCCTTCGTGGAATTTGAAATCAAATTATTGAAAATGGTACTGTTCGCAAAACGTCCACTACATTGCAGGTGCTTAAACTTGTATGTCTCGCTATTAATGTCTTATCTCCTAGATCGGATTCAACTCGTTGATGACAGGTTCTGAATCTGAAGTCTGATTCATCCTTTTAATGCACAACCAGGCCTGGCGAGGGTATTGCTCATAATAATGCTGCGCCCATGTAATAAGGGGTCGAGCACAGGAAGAGCTATAATACTGGCATGCGACATATTCCTTGAGCCTGAATGGCAGATGACTTTTCACAGAGAAAATCCCGACTTTTCCATCAGGCTGCCTTCTGAGCCAGCACCGCGATGAGGTAACTGCTCCGTCACTTTACTCCTCCCTCTCCCCTGGAGCCCGAAAAGGAGGGGGCGGGTAGCCGCGCTTCGCGCGGCCCTCTGGGACGGCTGCGCACGCGCAGCTTCCGGCTCCTGGTCTCGAGATTTATTTGACGCTGCCCGTTCGGTTCCCACACAAATCTTGGGTCAGACGCGCCGCGCAGGCGCAGTGGTCCCTTCGGCTGGGGGAATTATTTGACGCCACCGCCCCTGGCAGTCGGAAGTTGCTTGAACGGAGCCCAGCCGGCCGGCCAAGAGACCGGTCTTCTTCGTCCCCCGGGCGCCGTGTGCGAGTCACCGACGGGTGGACGGACTGACCGCCGGAGGACGGCCGGCCTGGGCGGTGGCAACTCGGGCCCGATGGCGCGGGTCGCGTGAGGCGGCAGGCCGAGTGCGGCCCGCGGTGCGCCCGCCCAGCGATGCGGGCCCCGCCCGTCGCCTCAGGTACGCGGCGGCCGGCGCGGCCGGACCCTCCCCTCTCGCTGTGTGTGTGTGTTTTTCCTCGCGGCCGCTGAGGCGGGGGCTCTCGCGCTCTCCGGTGCTCCCGGTGCCGGGCCTTGGCAAGCTCATCCCTGGGTTCTGAAGCGGACGCGCCGGGCACGGGAGCGCAGTCCTGGCCCGCGGCTCCTGCCGGGTGTGAGCGGACCCAGGAGGGTCGGACTGGCCGCGCGCGCCCCTGGCAGCCTGGGGACAGGGGCGGGTCTGGAGTGGTGGCGGCAACTCCGAGGAGAATGCGGTCCACCGCTGGGCTGGCGGAGTTGCTGCCGTCCGGTGAGGATACTGCTGTCGGGGGCACGGTGACGCTTGGGGGAGAGTAAACAGCCACCCTTAGCAAGCGCTTGCCGTCCGTCTGCCAGGCCCCAGGCTAGACAGGGAACTTCATCACTCTGCATGGCAGGACTTGGCAGGACTGTTACCCCATTCTACCGACCAGGCAACCGAGACCCAGAGCGATCGGGCACCTTTGGTGCCCAAGGTCATCTAGCTGGGTAATTTGAACTCAAGCAGCCTTGACAGCCCCAGTCCAGGTTCTTAACAATTAGGTCATAGGCTCTCCAACTTTGATGCACGGGAAAATCACTTGGGGAGTTTTGAAACGATTCCAGGTACCACCGCACCCCAAACTAATTAAACCACCATGCCTAGAGGGCAGGGGGCAGCCAAATACCAGTATCTTTCTGGAGATCCCCTAGTAGTTCTGGGATGTAGTAAGGTTTGGCAACTGTGAATGTAGAGAATCTTCATCCTAGAGTGCCTCTCCAGTTTAGATGTGCAGGAGGATGCTTAAAGTGCGGATTCTATTGGCAGAGATTCATATTGTTACTCCTGTCCCCACAGTGCGCCCTCGTTCTGTTGCTGGAACTCTGTTTTTCTGCCTCAGCCTCCTGTGTGCTAGAACTGTAGCTGTATGCCACAAGAGAGCTTTTCCTTGGGTGCACTGGTTCCCACCTCTTTGGTAGGTAGGCCTCCTTGAGGGTGAGAAGTAATTATGAATTTAGTCATCTGAGCTTTTAAAAAGATGTATACATCTCCTGTAAAAACTTTTGGTTTGCAGTTTTCCTTAGTATGCAGTACTCTGCTTATGGTTTCTCTTTCCTCTGGGCTTTTGAGTATACAGTTCTTTCTCCAAGACAGTCCTCCATGCTTTCTCAGCACTCTACCCAAACACATACTCTGTTTCTCTCATACACGTAATCTTTTCTGTCTGCTGCCTAGCTCTTAACATCTCCTCCCCAACCCCTCCCCACCTTCATTTTTCCTAACAGCTTTTGACACTGTGTTAATGTAGCTTACTGCTTCTTTCCTTTTTATTTATTTGTTTATTTTATTTTTGTGTGTTGTAGTTTTAGCTCTTCTTAGAGATTTTGATGGGCTTTCAGGCAAGGACCATGTTTTCTTGGTCACTGTTTCTTTGAGTTCCTTGATATAGAGGAAGGCAAACCTTTAAACCTTTTTTGAATACAGTGTTTTGTGTGTGTGTTTTGAGACAGGATTTCTTTGTGGCTTTGGAAGCTGTCCTGTAACTAGCTCTTGTAGGCCCGGCTGGCCTCGAACTGACAGAGATCCGCCTGCCTCTGCCTCCTGAGTGCTGGGATTAAATGTCCCTTTATGTGACAGGTAGATCTCATGCTGCAGAGACATCTGTTTCTATTTTTGTAAAAGATATTTGATGTTCTTAGCATTGGAGTTTTGTTCTTTTTCCTTAGGAATACTGTAGGCTTATCCATTTATTCAGAAAAAGAATAAAATGTTGAATTCTATCCATGGCAAGGCACTATGTATGACTGTTCCAACCACATTGGTTGGTTTACCTGGGTGAGGTGACACACACCTTTAATCCCAGCACCCTGGAGGCAGAAGCAGGTGGATCTCTGTGAGTTCCAGGCTAGCCTGTTCTGCATATTGAGTGCCAGGACAGCCATAGCTACATACAGAGACCTGCCTTAAAAACAATGGTTGGGTTTTAATGTTAACTTCATCTCAGACGATCGTTTCTATGGTGGGAACTTTTTATTGCCATTATGGTTTTGCATGTGTTCCTTCCTCATCGTCTGAAAGAAGTATTGACTAAACGCTGTTGCCTTGTGAATATGTATAAACACACGCAGGTGGGATAACTCAGTTATTGTTCATCCCACTCAGTGGGAGACAGAGTAAAAATTTAGTATCAGCAACGGACAGAGTTGGTGTAATCTTATTACATCATGTCTGAACTGACATTGCTGCACATGTTTTCTAACTTTAAAGGAAGTCAAGGCAATAATTCACATTGCATCTGTTTTTGGTTCCCCATTTAAAATTTATTTTTATGTGAATGGGTGTTTTGCCTGCATGCATGTGTGTGTACCAGTTAGATGCCTGATTCTTGCAGAGGCCAGAAGAGGGTGTCAGAGCCTCTGAAACTAAAGTTACAGAGAATTGTGAGCTTCCATGTGGTTGCTGGGAATTGACACTGGGACCATTTTAAGAACAGCTAATAAGTGCTCTTAACCACTGAGTAGTCGATTCTGTAGTTCTTTGTTCTTCGTTACTCTTGAAGCCATATAAAATTGATAAAAGCAAGGAGGTTAAATATTATGGGAAGGTCATTATGAAGAAGTTTGTTTACAATGAAGATGCTACCAACACACATTATGTTGGTACTAGGAATTGAACATAAGTGCTCTGCCACTGTGTCCACACACGCACACACTCACACACATGTTTTTTTTTTTTTTTTTTTTTTTCTGAATAGGGTTTCACTATTGTAGCAGTGACTGACCTAGAAATGGCTATGTAGATCAGGTCGTCCTAAGATTTTTCTGCCTCTGCCTCCCAAAGGACTAAAGGCATGTGCCACCATACCTGGCTATATTTTTTACTTTGAAACAAGGTCATACCAAGCTACTTGGGTTGACCTTGAACTTAGTCTGTATTCCAAGCAGGCCTTGAACTTAAGATCCTCCTGGCTCAACTTCCTGAGTAGCTGGGATTGTAGGTCTGTACCAGCATGCTATTTGTGATTTTTTTTTTCCCTCCAAGTTAAATGTGAAGAATGTAGATTGAATAAAAATACCTATTTCATAAAATAATATTGTTAGGGGGAGATTTTCTTGTCTTATTTATGTACTGTTTACTTGGTTTTTAGGCAGAGGCTAATATAGAAGGTGATGGGACAAGAGGTGTTAAATTTAGCTGCTCAAGAAACTTGCCCTTGTTTCTCTGATCAGATAAGGACAGAGTATTCAGTTCTGGTCTTGGCACATGGAAGAAACTCAGTTTTTTTTAAGCTTGAGGCTTATTAAGTCTTTAGATGACTTCCAGTGTTTGGATAAAATGTTCACATGCTCAGTTAGTGGACCAAAAGTAGTTCTAATCACAATAACCTATGACTTTGGCAAGACATCTGTCTAATTTGAGGTACCTATTGGTATGTTGGTATGTTCTTGACACATACAAAGGTCTTGTAGACAGAATGAATGATTTCTTGTGGTATAAGATAGTTTTAAGCTGGTTTTAATGCTCACACTGTAATCTTAGCTAAGACAAGAGGACTGGGCAAGGTTGAGGCCAGCCTGGGTTGTATAGTGAGGAGCCTGTCTCACGTTCTTCCAAGATGAAGTTTTAAAATTAGTGTCTGCATAGTTTAATTTTAACTTTTGAGATGAATTATCATGCCTAAAGCTACATGGTGACCTTCTGGCACATCCAGGACTGAAAAATGGACCTTCTCCTGCTAGACTCTGTATCCTGTTCCACATCATCCCTGCTGTCCCTCATATGAGGGACATGTTCTTTTTGTTGAAAGAAAATTGGAGATGGGAAAAGTGGACAGTTATCTGCTGTATTTTAAGTTAACCAATTAGAACTGTAGTGAATGTTTGGTGGTGTGTGATATGCATTTTGTTATATAAACTGGAGGTACTGAATACAAGACATATCTTCTGTCCCTAAGAAATTCTATAGTTAGAATTGCAGTAAAAATAAAAGTATAGTATCTTAAGCATCCCTATGAAGTAGAATTATCTGTCATGCCTGAACAGTACAATACACTGTTTACTAGTTCTATGTGGCTACTAAACACTTTAAATGCAATAAAGGAACTGAGTTCTAAATTTATAGTTACCCATGCCAGTAGATATGAAATTGGGAATATCAGGTTAGACACGGATGATAGTTGTGATGGTGCTGGCTGGGAGCAGACAGTGTATTAACATTTTCTTTCATAGACTAACAAAACCCATCTGTTTTCATCTTTGGGAAGAAATGCAGGCATAACCTGTCCTTTGTAATTCAGATGCTTGATAAGATTCTGGGCAGTTACTATCTGGTGCATAGTTGAGTCCATTCCTTTTTTTTTTAATGCCAGCTCGATGGATGTTTGCCTTGTGGGGTCATTGAAATGAGACCGCAACAGAATTAAGAAATGTGGTTCTTCTGTTCAGTAACACTTTATTTACTCAGCACACTGGTACCCTCCCTATACCATGTTTTTCTCCAGAGGAACAGGCGTATCTTAACATGTTCCTTTATTTGTATGTCCTGAAGTGTGTTGACTTAGGCTGCTTTCTTTGATCCTTTTCTCTAGTTACTTTAGATAGGCACTGAAGGTGTTCTCCCTGTTTTAGAGCCAGGGAGACTGAAAAATAAACATAGAGTGACTTGTCCAAGGTCATATGGTAAGGCACAGATTCAGAAGCATTGGACCTTAAGGCAAGAGGTAGATTTTCTTGTCCCAACATTGCAGCTACTTGATGTGACCCTGAGCAAGCTATAATCTTATTTTGTTTGCTTTTCTAATGGCTAGTGAGTCTTCTTTCTAACTTAAGCATCTAGGGCACTTGTTGTAATAAAATGAAGTAAAATGTGAAAGTTCTTGGAAAGTGATCAATTACAGTTACACAAAGGCACATTATTATCAAATCAAGATCTCTGGTGGTTCTAATCTGCTGTCTTATAGCTGA